GTGCAGATACTAGATTTAGCTGCGTAGATAGAATTATCTAGGTAGATTTCATTATTTAGCTTTTACATTGCAACTTTTCACACTTTTTCTTTTTACTAAAAAAAGACAAAAAAGCGCAATAGGGGTTTTAAAATACAACCCAAAGCAGAGATAATTCAAATATTGCTGCATTTTAATATGCTTAAGCAAAATATGTAATTCCATTGTTTGGGTAAAGTCTGTTCCCTGCTATCTTGTGTGCAGCGAGGCATTGATTAGTATGATTTACTTCACATTGTGCTGAATAATTACCAATGCATCATCATGTTACATGTTAACAAGAACTGGACTTCTTTATTAATTCATTCAAGGAGTAACTGTTGTATATAGCCCCAAAACTTCCAGAACTTTGATTGAGATTGCACAGAAAAAGACATTTCTTCAAGAGTGATTTTTTCATGAATTGTTTTCTGATGAGTTCAAAGTTGAAAATGATCACTGCTTCAAATGATATTTTCTGAAAATCCTAATAATTATGCTTTTTTTATGAAAATGTGTTTTGGTAGCTAAATAAAGCTACGTCAGGTAGGTAAATAAAGCTATGTATGTATATCAAGCTACGTAGCTATTAAATTTAGTGTTCATGGTGTTTGTACTGGACCTGAATAACTCATCTCTGGTGTATTTTGATTATAAAAATATAAATTACATTCACCAATTCCCCTTCAAAATCAATGACTATGCATTTAAAAATGCACTACTGTGTCGACGATATTGGTTTATTACATTTTTTTCACAACACATATTTCCTTGTCCACAATGAACACACGAATGTGCTGGTGATCATGCTGATATGTTACCCCTATCCTATGAAATGTTTCAAAGTAAAGGAAATTTCATATTTATTATTCATTTGGCATAAATAACGTGTGTTTCTCAACATTCTACCAACTGTTATGAATAACTTACCGAAAGGAGGCGATTATTTGTGCAGTTGCTCATTGTGATCGTCTGTTTTTCCAGCCGACAGTCAAAGTATAACCATACCGGAAGTTACCGACGCAGTGTAAAAGAAAAATCGTATCTTATATATTTTCACCTTTCAGAGCATATATTCGAATTGAAGATTGATTCATATAAGTGCAACAAAAACTGTACCTCAGGTGATTTATGTTGTAAATGACAGAGTAAGCAATAATCATGAATTCAAATTCTCCATAAAACATTCCGGAGAAAACCGGGATTTTCTCTTCCGTCACTGACCGAGTTCGCGACGACTTAAAAATTTTCTAAAAATAAATATGAGCGGAGGAGAGACCCACTACGAATTTTTGACAGTCGATTTAAAATACTAAAGAGATTAAGTACACAAAAAATGATCGTGGGTCTTGCCTCCGCTCATAGGTAAATCTTGCATATTTTGTGACACAAGAAACGCTTTTTGGAAGAAAAGTAGAGACAATCATTTAAATCAGTACCCAGGATTAATTAAAATGACCAAAAATATTTTAATTATTATCTTTTTATAGAAATACAAATTCAGTTCTTTCCTTTTTATAAAACATCAACTCCTGACTGAACTCTTTATTTGTTCCAGTTCAGGGGGGCAGATGATATATTGAAACCCTATCTTGTTCTTTCAATCTTTCATTCCTGCAGTAGACATGATTAAAATCCTAAACCATTGTATCTTTGCTTTAAATGCTTCCTTTAATTGATAGGGAGTTCTATGGAGGGAAGCAGTTTGAGGGGAGTTATGTAGATTACGCTCCAGGAGAAATGGTGGTGGCCCGTTATAGTGTAGATCTACAGTGGTACAGGGCTCGTGTCATCAGCTCGGGGGACAGGAAAGTGGAGGTCAGATCTAGTTATAAACATCATCTTAATTCCTTAACATCTTATAAAATATCATGAACTAAGGTTATCTAAATTTAATTCTCTGGTTCTCAGGCCAGTTTTCTCCAAAACAGATGCGGGAAGGTGGCATTTTATTTATCATTTTATTGGCAATAAAGTACATGAGGGAGGTATTTTTTTAATTTTGAATTTTCTTTATTATAAAGATACTTTTTTAATCACAGATATACTTTCCATGTCTGATAAAAATTTCTGCTTTATCCATTGCTTATCAGTGTGTGAAAATCGTGGGTAATGTCCTCGAATGTATTTTCAAACGAAGTAGCCAAAATCTCATTGCAAATTGCTACCGGAAGTGATAATTGAATACTAAACAACGAAAAAAAATGAGGACAAAATCTTTTTTTTCCGAATTGGTCTCCGCAATACCAACTTTTTATTTCATCAAAAATTCAATTAAGTTAGCAATGCGGCTACCCCAAAACGTATGCGGGTGGGCCTGAGAACCAGAATTTTAATTTTATGTAGCCTAATATAAAGGCAAAGAGGCATCCAGTTGATTTTGGTTTTGGGACTGAAATCCATCATGCTATAGTTTTGTCCAACATAAGAGTTTTTTATCTCTTTTTAAACAAAATATAAAACATTTGGTCTCTTTTTAGTTTAAATGCATAAAATGTTCTAATATGAAGTATTTATAATAAAAATGTAAAATCCCCATTATTTCTAGATAAAATCTTTAAGAATTGGAAATATGATTTTAACAATTTAATACCAAAAAAGAGATTTTTATGTGCAAATTTTGAGTCCATGCTTCACTCAGACTTAACAGTACAGAATCTTTTTCAAAATACATTTCTGAGCAGAACAGAAAGTATTGAATTACAATCATTTTGACACACAGGTGTTTTATGTGGACTTTGGGAACAAGGAGGTTGTGTCTGATAAATCGGTCCGTAATATAGACCCCCAGTTCCTCCACCTACCCCTCCAGGCTCTGGAGTGTTTCCTAGTGGACATAGAACCTGTAGGAGGAACAGACAGATTTAGTCAGGAGGCCAGGTATGTTTATTTCTATTTGTAGATTTACTCAGGAGGCCATTTGTGTGTACTTGGGTACACAGAGCTTGGCTTGAAAAAAAAAACTCTTAAAAATTGTTAATGTTTTATTGTTAATGAATTGTTAGTACAAGTGTTGTTAAATTTTTGGTAAAATGTGAACAATATTTGTATCCTTATTTTTAGAATGGAGTTCAGAAAACTAGTGGATGGGAAAACCTTGGTTGCCTACATCAAGTCAAGGTTTGTACTGGATAATGGTTTAGTAAACTTGAAACTTTAGTATCTTCAAACTACCTCGAATATCATAAATATGTCAGTGATATGAGAGCCCCAGTATTTTATCTATACTGATATTTTGAATCCTCGGATTTCTCAGATTTTTTTTTAGGTCACCTGAGTAAACTCAGTGACCTATTGCTATCTGTTTTCGTCCATCGTCGTTCGTCGTGTGTTAACATTTGAACATTTTTAGCTTCTTCTCTGAAACCACTGAACCAATTTCAACCAAATTTGGCATATAGCATCTATGGGTGAAGGGGAACAAAAATTTTGAATTTCATGGTCCCTGCCCACCTGGGGCCTGGGGGTGGGGCAAAAACCACTAAAATTAGTGCAATCTTTAAAAATCTTCTTCTTTACTCCTGGACATCAAGCAGTCAAACTGTTGGTATGATTGTAATCAGCATTGAGTCCTCTACCAAAATTGTGAAATTTATGGCCCCAGGGTCAGGGGTTCTAGTGCTAGGGTTGGGCTAAACAGGTTATATAGTGAAAATGCATTATTTCTTTGAAATTCTTCTTTTCTGTTTGTGGGCATTAAATAAACTAACCAAGTGCATAGGTAAGTTGAAAATGACCGCCTTTTCCAAAATTGTGAATTTCATGGCCCTAGTGTCAGGGGTTCTAGTGCTAGAGCGGGGCTGTATATATTATATACTGAAAATGCATAAATTCTTTGAAATTCTTCTTCTCTGTTCATGGGCATTAAATAAACTAACCAAGTGGATAGCTTTGTTGAATAAGGCTGCCTCTTCCAAAGTTGTGAATTTCATGGCCCCAAGGTTAGGGGTTCTAGTCCTAGGGCAGGGCTATATAGATTATTTAGTAAAAAATGAATTATTTCTTTGAAAATCGTCTTCTTTGCTCCTGAGTATTAAATAAACTAACCAAGTACATAGTTATGTTGAATAAGGCTACCTCTTCCAAAATTGTGAATTTCATGGCCCCTGGGTTGGGGGTTCTGGTGTTAGGGCGGGGCTTTATTGATTATACTGTGAAAATGCATAAATTCTTTAAAACTCATCTTTTCTGCACCTGAGTATTTAACCAATGAACTATGTACATAGTTATGAGGAGGAAGGATGCCTCTTTGAGATTTTTGAATTTCAGGGTCCCTGGGTTAGGGCTTCATGTGTTAGGGTGGGCTCTGATGTTTATATAGTGAAAATACATGAATTCAAATGAAAATGCATGAATTCTTTGAAAATCTTTTCCTTTGTTATTGGGTATAATGCCAATGATCTTGGTATATATTTATGACAAAAAAACCTGCTTCCTCCAAAAATGGTTAATTTCCTGGCCCCTGGGACAGAGGTACTTTGTGGGGGGGGGGGGAGGGGGGGGGGGGTAACATAGTCTGAAATAATTTAATGCTTTGAAATCAGCACTTTGGTATTAATCAACAGCATGATGAAATAAAATTTTAAAAGAATTCCAAAATTTTGAAAGATGTAGCCCCAGGGTCAGTGGTTCCTGTGGGACGGGGAGCTCAACTGTGGACCCGCCCTAACACAAGAAGCCCTGACCCAGGTGCCCTGAAATTCAGTAAAAGTGGAAATGTATTTTCTCTTTGTTATTCTGATCTACCTCTGGGTATTAAGTAACCAAAATAAGCATGCTGAGTATATAATTATGATAAGCAATGGTGCCTCTTTCAAAATTGTGAATTTCATGGCCTCTAGTTTAAAACATGAATCAAAGTCAATTGTTGGAAAGTTGCCGCATGATACTCAGGTGACTTATAAGGCCCATGGGCCTCTTGTTTCTCGTCCTATCAGGTTCAAGATAATTAAGTTCAACTGTTTGAATTGAATTTCATTCAGACTGAGTGTGTAACTTCAAAAAGCCCCCTTCACATGCACTGATTTACCTGCATGGGTGCAGATATATTTTGGACGCATGCAAAATTTGCACCTGGAAAGAAAATCAGCGCACTTGAAAGGGGCTTTAGATACATAGGTTTGTTGACCTTGTCTGGTTCCATACAGAAACAAATAACTAGTGCGTAACATTATACTGCGATTTCTCTTTTGTTATATCCAAAATAACAGCAATATTTTGTCTGAAGGTCTTGGAGTGGTTGTGCGTGGGTGGAGCTGTTTGATACATCGGGAGAGGAGGATATCAGTATTGCTCGTACCTTGATTGAGCGGGGACTAGCACAGGAATCGACCGCCCTATCTAGCACCACCAGCGGGAGGGGCAGCAACACGTCCAGTCGAGTCTCTAGTCAGGAGTCCCTTGTCCTAGTCCCAGGATAATTACAGGACTAACTTCAATGTGATACATGTACAGCAAAATCCATCCATAGATTGGCAAGAGAATAACAAAGAATTTTAAAAATCTACCTTTTCTCTATATAGTTAGGAAGTATGCTGTGTAGAAAAAGAACATGACATATAGTATTTACAAAACAACTTTGTTTTCAATTTTATAGGAAAAATGACAGATTTTTTTTGTAAAAATATAGATATTTACAGTACAAGCTTCATGTATTGTACAAAGCTCAAAAAATGGAAGGATCTTGTTTGTGAAATATTTGTAGAGAGAGTCATGCAACTATTAGAAAGTAGAGGAAGTCATTCAAATAGTAGAAGAGATTATAATTCATAAGTCCTTTAATCCTTGTTCATTTTTTAGCTCTACTGGTCAGAGACCAGAAGAGCTTATGCGATAGTAATGCGTCCGGCGTCCGTCCGTCTGTCTGTCTGTCTGTCTGTCCGTCTGTCTGTAAACAATTTTTCAAAACGCTACTCCTCCTACAATTTTAGTCTGATTTCAATTTAACTTGGCACACAAGTAGACTACACTAAGATACATAGAATAGTGCATGGGTTTTTAATTTTGATGAACGGTGTTGCCATGGTTACTAAAAATAGAATTTTTTGTGAAATTCCTTAAAAACGCTACTCCTTCCACAGTTTTGGTCTGATTTCAATATAACTTGGCACACAAGTAGACTACACTAAGATACATAGAATAGTGCATCTGTTTTTGATTTCGATGAACGGTGTTGCCATGGTTACTAAAAATAGAATTTTCTGTGAAATTCCTTTAAAACGCTACTTCTTCCACAGTTTTGGTCTGATTTCAATATAACTTGGCACACAAGTAGACTACACTAAGATACATAAAATAGTGCATCGGTTTTTGATTTCGATGAACGGTGTTGCCATGGTTACTAAAAATAGAATTTTCTGTGAAATTCCTTTAAAACGCTACTCCTTCTACAGTTTTGGTCTGATTTCAATATAACTTGGCACACAAGCAGGCTACACTAAGATACATAGAATAGTGCATCGGTTTTTAATTTCGATGAACGGTGTTGCCATGGTTACTATAAATAGAATTTTCTGTGAAATTCCTTAAAAACGCTACTCCTTCTACAGTTCTAGTTTGATTTCAATATAACTTGGCACACAAGTAGACTACACTAAGATACATAGAATAGTGCATCGGTTTTTAATTTCGATGAAGGATGTTGCCATGGTTACTAAAAATAGAATTTTCTGTGAAATTCCTTAAAAACGCTACTTCTTCTACAGTTTTGGTCTGATTTCAATATAACTTGGCACACAAGTAGACTACACTAAGATACATAGAATAGTGCATCGGTTTTTAATTTCGATGAAGGATGTTGCCATGGTTACTAAAAATAGAATTTTCTGTGAAATTCTTTAAAAACGCTATTCCTTCTACAGTTTTGGTCTGATTTCAGTATAACTTGGCACACAAGTAGACTACCCTAAGATACATAGAATAGTGCATCGGTTTCTAATTTCGATGAACGGTGTTGCCATGGTTACTAAAATAGAATTTTCTGTGAAATTCCTTTAAAACGCTACTCCTTCTACAGTTCTAGTTTGATTTCAAAATAAGTTGGCACACAAGTAGACTACACAAAGATACATAAAATAGTGCAATGGTTTTTGATAAGTACATACCAGTAGAGCTACAGTCTCGACAGAGACTTCTGGTTACTGACAGTCATGTGTACGATTAGATACAAACCAATGTGTCTGTAATAGAGAAGGTACAGTGTAGATGTCTCACCTAAAATCTTCTCATGTCAAGTTCACAAGATTAACTGCACATGCTAGTGTATTATAATGAATAAGTTAAGGGATTTCTGCAGTATTGATTTATCAGTAAATCTTTGTCAAGTTCATAAGTGTTGTATAAATCATTTAAATTGAACTTGCAGGTTCTGTTTATTTTGCTTTTATAAGTTTTACTCTGTTCTCAGGTAAAGAAAAACTTGAAAATGTGTTCATATTTCTAAAACCTTGTTTTAAAATTTTTAAGTTTCTTTCTATATCCAAGGAAAGTAGAGGTACTTTCTCGAGTGATTTTATGAATATCATTTCATATGTACATGTAAATATTAATTACCCTGCATTCGTCCATTTTGTATATTTTGGGTCACATGCCAAATGAAAGCAATGGTAAAGAGATGAGATAGTGCGTTAAATTTCCAACGTCTTGATCATAATGCCCTATAACTCAGTTCAGAATCATGTACGCATATTTTCTGTGCAATTAATGTTAATTCATCTGTAATAATTACAAAATCTTGAATGTGTACTACATATAGTTGTCTGAAATATCACTAAAAACCGTTCACAGCTTTCCTCTGAAACCCACTTTTTTTTTTTTTTTACATTTTTAGAAATCATTTTACGTCTTTTTGTAAAAATTTTGACTTTAAGAATCACCCAAGAATCAGTGCTTCCTATTAAATGTTGATTTCTGGCCTATTTTTTGCTGTTTCATAAGTGATTCTATAAATTTTTTCTTGCTTATACATGAATATGTGAGTTGCAATCGGTTGACACTAGTTCTACTAATAATGATTCAGATACGGTAACATTCATTAGGACACTCTAGTCTAGTAAATAGGAAAGTGTTATACTTGAAGTTTGCAAATCTGCTCATAGAGTTAAAACTTGCAGAGAAATATTCTTTGACAGTTACAGATTTGAACGGAAAAAAATGTCATAAATACTCATGTGAACAATATGCATTGTATCACCTTAAACCAATTAAGCATCAAAAGATGTTACTTTCATATCGAATTTCATTTACAGAATTCTTTGTATCTTCATTCATGCATATTTTGTTTTGTCATTTGTTGTTTTATATGTGTTTATTGAAATTTTGATGTGTACATGTTATTTCCTATGTCCAAATAGACAATTTAATTGTGCCAAAACTTTCTGTATTTTAAAAAATGCAAGAAAAGCAATAAAAATGATCATGAATCTCTTTCTGTGGTTTTAATTAAAATTTAAACAGGACACAAATTATGCTGAAAGAGTTTAGAATATGGGGAGGAAAATGCAAGTTTTTTAGCTCTACTGGTCAGAGACCAGAAGAGCTTATGCGATAGTAATGCGTCCGGCGTCCGTCCGTCTGTCTGTCTGTCTGTAAACAATTTTTCAAAACGCTACTCCTCCTACAATTTTAGTCTGATTTCAATATAGCTTGGCACACAAGTAGACTACACTAAGATACATAAAATAGTGCATCGGTTTTTGATTTCGATGAACGGTGTTGCCATGGTTACTAAAAATAGAGTTTTCTGAGAAATTCCTTTAAAACGCTACTCCTTCTACAGTTTTGGTCTGATTTCAAACATAACTTGGCACACAAGAAGACTACACTAAGATACATAAAATAGTGCATCGGTTTTTGATTTCAATGAACGATGTTACCATGGTTACTAAAAATAGAATTTTCTGTGAAATTCCTTTAAAACGCTACTCCTTCTACAGTTTTAGTCTCATTTCAATATCACATGGCACACAAGTAGACTACACTAAGATACATAAAATAGTGCATCGGTTTTTGATTTCGATGAACGATGTTGCCATGGTTACTAAAAATAGAATTTTCTGAGAAATTCCTTTAAAACGCTACTCCTTCTACAGTTTTAGTCTCATTTCAGTATCACTTGGCACACAAGTAGATTACACTAAGATGCATAAAATAGTGCATCGGTTTTTGATTTCGATGAGCGGTGTTGCAATGGTTACTAAAAATAGAATTTTCTGAGAAATTCTTTAAAAAGCTACTCCTTCTACAGTTTTGGTCTGATTTCAATATTACTTGGCACACAAGTAGACTACACTAAGATACATAAAATAATGCATCAGTTTTTGATTTTGATGAACGATGTTGCCATGGTTACTAAAAATAGAATTTTCTGTGAAATTCCTTTAAAACGCTACTCCTTCTACAGTTTTAGTCTCATTTCAATATCACTTCGCACACAAGTAGACTACACTAAGATACATAACCATGTTGCCATGGTTACTAAAAGTAGAATTTTCTGTGGAATTCCTTTAAAACGCTACTCCTTCTACAGTTTTGGTCTGATTTCAATATAACTTATCACACAAGTAGACTACACTAAGATACATAATTCTGTGCATCGGTTTTTGATCAGTACAAACCAGTAGGGCTACAGTCTCGACAGAGACTTTTGGTTTTTGTTTGGTCTTGAGAATATCAGAGCTGCAAATTTTCACCTTTACTCCGCACTCGGGGTCATTAATCAGTGAGGGATCTCTTTTGTGTTAGTATCTATTCTGACATGGCACCTCATTTTATAATGTTCTCTCTGACATGGCATCTTGTTTTATATTATATGAGAAGTTTATTTTTGGTAATTTTCATTGGCTGAAAGGACGTCACATGATATTCCTCTTTTTGTGATATCGACGCGTGGCGAAAAATGATATCGCATGACACAGCGTTCGGTTGCACTGAAGATACGTAGAACATGGCGTCGTAATATAAGAAGCGTGTTTTTAACCATTTTGACGTAATGACAGCCAAAAGTCTGTTTAGTTAGGACTGTGTCAGTGCATTCACTTTGAGCGATTATATAATATAAATATTTTGGACTTCAGTGTAGGTCGATATGTGGTTATAAGGACTCATGGTAATTGATATTGACCTCAGACACAGAAAGTGATAGAGACTGTGTCTGAGGTCATTATCACTTGCCATGAGTCCTTATTACCACATATCGACCTACACTGAAGTCCATAATTGTGTAATAATGGTCTTACCAAAGGACTGGTATCCACATCCCACATGGGACACACTGCACTGAAGTGCAATGATATGACATGCCAAAGTCTGATGGTGAGGAGAAACAAAGATTTTTTGAAGATGTTGGTGTATATTTGATTTAGCGCATTTGTTAATGTTCTTATTTATGTATATACATGTGTATACGCAAGGCATTTAGCGTTGTACTTGAATTAGCAAATCAAAAGTTTCTTTCCACCAAAAGTGCTAAAAAGAATACACAGCCAAATGCAATACATTTACAGTAGTTTGATCTTTGACCTCAGTATTTACACTGGTCATCTACTCCTTATGGGAAACTAGCATATACTGTACCGACTTTGATGCCTGTAAAGCAAAGGGTCTCAGTATTGAATGGTTAGCAGCAATGTTCAGTTTGACCCTTGACATTGCTTTTGAGCCTAAAATTAATATACAGATCATCTACCACTCAAGTTGAACCAATTGTGATGCTTATCAAGATATTGAGTGGACATCTGATGATGTCTTTATTACTTTAATTTTGACCTTGTGACCTCAATATTTACAGTGGTAATCTACTTTTGAGTGTGGAACATTGCATCAGGTTTTGTGTGTTTTGAGAGTTACGGGTAGATATTGAACAGACCATTATCTTCCTATGTATTGAGTTGATTGATCCTTGACCTTTGACCCTGATATCTCAAACTCCCAGAGTGGTCATCTACTTCTTAGGATCTAGAAAAGTATGTCTGTCAAGCAAGGATTCTCAAGAAATTGAGAAGTCAATGCTTCCTATGTCCAGTTTGCACCTTTATCCTCAAAATCAAGATATTGAACCGACGTCTTACATCAAGAATAATGTGAATCTTGATCTTTTACACTGTAATCTCAAATAATTTCTTCCTACAACTTGTAAAACTGATCCTCATTTGGAAGCTCAACCTATTCTCAAAGGTCCTAGCTATCAACTCAGGTGAGCTAAAACTCTTCTCGAATACAATTAAAGGTCTGAATCTCTGAATTCATGAATTTTGATGTTCTGGTACAGGGCTCATTATTTTGCCCCCTTGATGTCAAGAGACTCAAATAAGGAGATATGTTTTAATAACTATTCAATTAACTCAATATGCACTCTATGGTCTGAATCCTGGCTGAACTCATCAATTATGAATTTCACCATCAAGAAAAAGTTGCTTGTTGCAGATTTGGATGGTTTGAAAAATGGTCCAACAACAACATGGATAAGAATCTTCAAGTTTTATACCTTGGAGTATATTTGTGTACCAACATAAGACATTTACAAAAGATGTACATGTTAACATGTACATCCATGTAATGATGTGGCTCATACCTTGGTAAGAAAAACTCATTTTCACATTTGCTCTAATTAATCAAGAAAAATTAAAAACAAACATTGTTTATCAGATTTAATCAAGCATAACTTTCCACAATTTTACATCACCATCATCACTGCCTGAGGCTAAAAGTCCTTGAACTTTGGGATTCCATGACACAGAATTAACATCTTGAGAATGGGCCTTGTTTTGAGAACAGACCAGACTGAATGAGGGTTGATTCTTGTCAGATATGTCTTCCTCTTTAAATATTCTAATACTATCATCAGCACAGGCTGATACGATCAAACCAGTCGTGTGACACCAGCTAACATCATAAATCACTCGAGTATGGTATCCCGATAATGTACACACACATTTCCATGTAGATTCTTTTCCCGTTGTGTCTATTCCCTCTGGATTTCCTGGTAAATATTCCTGCCAGATTTTTAATGTTTTATCATCACTACATGACACCAAACGATGACCAGTGTGGTCAAAGCTGATTTTCCAAACAGTCGAGGTGTGGGATTCCAGTGTGTTACAGCAGCACCAGTCATCTATCTCCTCTTTG